GTTATACTTACTATTAAATTTTAAACAAATGCTCAAAAAAATCACACTACCCTACTAGTGTAAACTGTACCGTTGATTATTATGAACACAATAATCCTTGACAGTAAATGTGAGGGACATCAATAATGCAGATGCACAATAAATCAGGGAGGCGTGTGAAGGTTGGTTTCCTGGCGCCGTACTAGAGTAGATCAGATTTTTCAGATTAGGTTTAACGGTCACCACACATGTTTTCCAATCAGAAGAAATTGTTGGATTTGATAAAAGTGAAGCCACAGTTGCTCTTGAGATAAGAAGCTCATTTACAGCTGAAACAGACCTCTGATCATGACTAGAGCAATGCATGCCACTGATAATGAGGAATTGAACATAACCTTTTTCCATACATTTTCTTAGGAAAGTAAGAATGTTTTTGCAAACCTGCTCAAATTGAACATAACCTGCTCAAATGGTTTTTCTGATGACCGGTTAGGCCTTGGTCCGGGGTTGGACCACGGGCAGGAACGTTCCTGATGGTTTTGTGTATTTTGTATACCGCATAATTTTATTTGTACACGGCGTAATTTTATCTGCACAACGTGTAACTTTAGAACAAATTTTTGTGAACCCCACACACGACGTTAAAAATGAGGTACAAGAAATGATCTGGACCGTATAATTTTTTTTGATTAAATCTTAATCGTGAACAGCTCAGGAACGATCCATCTGATGATCGCTCCTACCCCTCATCCTCCCGGGGTTAAATCATAGTCATATCCGTCATGATGCAGCAGGTTTTGTCATTGTGTATGAGTGCATGCGATGGAATTAATTCCATCTGCTTGTCATATTGTTTGTGTTTGGTTTCAGCTTTCAACCCGAAAACTACTTCGTACCTCCATCATGGATTGAATGGTTTTGCTCAAGATGGATACAAAAAACAGGTCCCTGCAGTCTGCAACTTGCGAAGATAGGATCAAAACTTTTGCTTTCCTGAGCAGAAAGACTCTAGAATGATGAATTGGGACAAATTGTCCGCAAATGAGGGACGTTCATTCCACTCGTTTTCTGAGCCCTGGTGCTGAAAGTTACTCCTGGTGTTGAAACTTCTTCTTCCATGCCTTTTTCTTTTCAAAGACTGGTCATTGAGGTCTAGCTGTGACTGGTTCAACCAAATACAGGATAAAGTTTCTTGGAGCTGGACCACAAAGTTCTGCCTGTGGCTCAAATATTAGTGTACTTAAAAGATCCAATCACGTAAACCATCTGCATAGGCCTGTTTGTCATATTCCCTTCGAAGTCAGAAATCCCTTGCAAGCAATTTCCACGGCAATCTTCTGAGAAGTTAACCTTCACGATATTGATATTGAAGCATCTTGAATTTTTGTGGAAGCGAAGTTAAATGGTAAAAGTGGCAAGCATTTTCTTATTCTCTCCAATAATTCATGGTAGATAGTTGAACAACTGGAACTGTCAGATTTGACACGACAAGGTGCCAATCAAATCATTGTTCATGAGTTTCATTTTCTTGGAGATGGATCCATCTGGAATTGGTCCAATTTAATGAAGTTGCTGTCTGAAACTTGGAATCAAAGAGAAAGCTTGAGGGTAATTTTAAAGCCACGAAAAGAAAATTCAATTAAGGACATAAGGCATAATACCATTCTAAGCACAAACAACTGCTAATATTTGGCAAAATCCAAACCTCCCTTTCAAGAGTAAAATTGAGATTTGTTCTTAACCCACAAAAACAAACAGAACTGACATCACATGGCCATATAGTCTAAGCATGCTAGAGAGAAAATACTACTCTTTAATTTGGTTGGAGGTATTCGCGCGCGTACATAGCACGGGTCAAAATTCTAGTTTATCGCAACAGATGCCATTCGTTTCATCATATGTCACTCTCATCAACCTGGATATGCCCAATGAAATGGAAGTATTGAGATGCAGTTGATACTTATCTTAGTTAGACTTCTTCCAAACATCTAGAGGCTTTGTTTAAGGTTAAAACACTCGCCACTTGTTCACAAACCCGCTCCGCAGCGTTCATTGGGAGTTGAAATAAGACATTCCTGGTTTCTAGAAGAAGGTTCCCCCCCCCCCCCCCCCTTTTTTTTTAATATAATCAATTTGACTAAGTTTTCGATAGAAGGTTTTCTGAGAAAACACGTACAACTGTTCATTTTCCGTCTCTAAAATGCCTTTCAATGATGCTGGAATCAACATATCAAAGTATGTTATTAGTTGTTTTCAAGAGTCAAATTAGTTGGTTGTGAGAGTTTGACTCTCAAAAATTTTTAAATGCAGCTATTTTGATTCAATTAGGGCTGCAAACGAGTCGAGTCGAATCGAGTTTTGACCTAATCGAATCGAGTCTTGACATAATTTTAGTGAACTTGAGTTCGACAAGTCGACAATTTCAAGTTCGAGCTCGAATTCGAAAAAAATAAAAAATAATTATTTTTATTTTTTAAAAAATAAATAAAATAATATTTTTTTAATAAATAATAAAATAGTAAGGATATATATGTAATTTTACTATTAAAATTAAAAAATACATATACTTAAAATTAAAAAAAAATTAAAAAAAAAAAATATATATATATATATATATATATATATATGCTCGAGCTCGCGAGCTAACGAGATTAATATCTTGAACTCGAGTTCGAGTTCGATTTCGACTCGAGCCAACTCGAGTTCGATATTAAGCGACTCGCGAGCGGTTCGGTTCGTTTGTAGCCCTAGATTCAATACACCTCCATACAACAACAGTTCTTGACAATTTTCAGTTTGTCTTCAGCTAGGCTAGCCCCATCATGAAAAGTGGATCCTTCATCTTTTGGGCTTTTTAGATTTGTTACTGTTATTGTCTTATGAGTGATTGGGCCGTGTCCGGTTGCCTCTCGGGCTCGTTGTCAACTAGGATCCTTTCTAACAGGTTCATGAACCTTTTTTTTTTATTTTTTAAAATAACCTGCTTCAACGAGAACTCCAAACCTTATTAAGGGTAAGGAAAAAGAAAATAATTTGAGAGTCAAATCGAAGTTCTTACAGTCATCTGGGCAAAATGTCCCTACCAATTGAATTAGCTTCTCGGGACATATATTCTTTTGTGAGTTAGTTAGTATGTTATACCTTTCACCATTACGTTTATCCCAAGACATAACCATTATTTAATCACTCATGTCGACGATTAAATTCTTCTCCTTAGTTTTTTGTCCAACATTTCTTTGTCTCCCTGACCAACAGACACATTAGATCCTTCGCTTAGGCAACCTGCTGCAATTAACAAATCTAATAGGATTCTACTATGATCTCTTTTGTAATATCCGTGACAATCTAACAATCCTAGACCAATTTGATGGTCCAATATTCACCAATTGAATTTTTCACGGCTAATCTCGTGGTCTAACTCGATCAACTAATTATTTCCTGATAAATTTGTGCCCTAACTCTTAACAACTGAAATGCCCAGAACTAACTCGTAGTCTGTCTCTGATACCAGTTGTTAGCATTAAAAAAACATGCAGCAAAAGTAATTTAATATTGCGATTTTGGAGGTTTATAATAAGAACGTAAAACAATGGAGACTTATAGTATTAATAAGAAAGGCATGGGAACAAACCATCATATTACATTGAATTTGCGACGGAGATTTGTATGAACATTGTTGCAGGAAATGGTTGGTATTGGCCCTAAATCTATGAAGAACTTGATTGGAGGGAGAAAGTATTAAAATAACTTAAACCAAGCTATTTAGAAGTTTGGTAGTTTTAAATTGTTAATGTTAAGCAATGAATGTAGATCAATGAACAAAAGGAACTTTAGTTTTGAAAGGGTTTGGTGTTAACTAGATAATGGTACTTGAGCTTCAAATTTTTGAAGATCTGGAATTGGGGCAATTTCCAAGCCCTTTACTGAAGGTCTGGACCTAACAATGTGCAAAGAATCTTCCCTCCCATTTTCTGTACCATTCTCTCTGTCCCGATATTTATTAAATTACTACATATTCTTTATGAACATCCTAATTTAATTTTTCTTGTCCTTTAATTCTAACACTACTAAAAAAATAAATTTAAATAAAATGGATTTTTTAAAACTATTTTTTATTTTTTTATTATATATTATTATTTAGTCTGTTGTATTTTATATTTTACCAATAAGTAATTGTTGGAATACAAAGCGACAAGAAAAAAAAATTAAAATGGGATTTTTTTGAATGATATATGCCATTTTAATAGATGTTGAGACTGAGAATGACATACAAGGTGGGACAGAAGATCCTTTGTGCTAAAAATGACCAGGCAATAAGTTTGTCAATTCGTTTGGAAAAAAAATAAGTTTGTCAATTATCCTTTTCGGTATTTTACTCAAACAAGTTACTGGTGGAAGAAAAGAAAATAGTGAGTAACCGTAGAGGTACATGGACATCAACATGGTTATTGTATCTTTTTTTTAAAAAAATATTTGTGTATATTGCTACCCTGTCAAAAAAACTATATTCCTAGATATGCTTAAAATTAATTTGAATAACCAAATATTCCCTATCCTTTTCACTAGTGTACAAAAACAAGCATCGGAATAAAGTTTTTGTGGATCTGAAAATCAATGAAGATTTGGTCTTTAGAAATATTAAAGGTCGTTGAAGTCTGAAAGGACTTCAACTTAGTATGTTGAGTATATTGTCCAACGCGCAAGATTTTTTTGAACATTCAGACAAGTTTTCTAATATCTTTTCCTCACTCCTGAGTCTAGAAGATTTGTATATCCTCAATAGGCTTTTCTGAAATTCATTTTTTGTGTGGATGATACAATATATAATTCCCTAGTTCTATATTTTGCTGTCTAACATGTTTGCAAGTTTATCAGTTGTAGCCTCAAAAAAAAAAAAAAGGGTTTATTTAGTTGTTTAAATCAACTGCTAATCCAGCTTAGGCAAATTGAAATTTGGATTTGAAGAGTGAAATTGAGGTTGTTCTTGAGCCACAAACATAAACAACACAAGAATCTCATAGTAATACATTTTAAGCACATACAACTGCTAATCTTTCGCAATTAAATTCAAACTAGTGAAAGGAAAGTATTATACAGGCCTTGTGCCTTTTTTCTAGCACAAACTTTACATTTTCCTTATTTACAATGCCATGAAAGCCAAGAGTTCTTTAATGCAAGAATTAACACAACACAGTATAATTATTAGTACTTCAAACTCCTTTTTTTTTTTGGTGGCCAAAGAAAGTTTGATAGAAGAGTGCATTCAACAGGTTTAAGCAATAGACCACTCCCTTCTCAACTCCACAATCTCATTCTCTGGCAAAATCACTCTCACAATCCTCCCAAAGCCACCATCATTTGGCCCCGGCAGCACCAAAACAGCCCCTTCATCACCTACTCCATCAATCCAATAGCTAACACCAACTTGTTTTGTTCCATTGTATTCAAATCCATGAAAATTGGCATCCTCATAATTCACAAAGGTCAAATTTGCACCATAAACCTCAAAATCAGCCAACCCTTGATCCCTTTCCATAACTTCTTCGATCTTTTTTCGCTCGTCGATCGCCTGATTCTTGATCATTGCTGCCAATTCTTCATGGCTGGCTTTTGCAATAGCAAAGTCTGCTTTCACTACACTAATTATTTGGCTATTGCTCAATCTTCCATCTCCCTTGTTTCTTGAATCCTTCTTGCAAATTGTCACAACTTTTGGTTCATTTCCATGCCTAATTTTGGCTACACACTTCCAAATCACAGCACAAAGGGACTCAAAAGGGGCAATTTTAGGGCCATATTTCCCACTTATCCTTGACTGAATATCGCTCAATTCAGTAGGGGTGACATGGAATGAGAATGTCTCCATGTTACAGGTATTGACAGTTATCCATTTGTCTGCAACTGGGCCAACACGCTTCACGGAAAGTGGATCCTCCATCATACTTTTTGGGCTTCCAGGATCTTGATTCTTGTTGAGTGATTGGGCTGTGTTGAGCAGCCTCTGGGGCTCATCGCCCGCTAGGATTCTTCCTAACATGTTCATGAATTCTGCAGCTGAAAATGCATCGCCAAGAACATGGGTCCAGCTCAACCCAACTGCCATTCCTCCGCATTTGAATTTTGTGTACTGCATACAAGGCCCATTGAGAAAATATAGTTCAAACCCACTTAAATCTTCTCCAACTTGAATACAAAATTCCACACGCCTATCAACATTCAAATAACTAAGCAAAATGGGGATTTGTTTTGAAATTTCATACCATGAACTTAATTTAAAAGTATAACTCAGAGGAAAAAAACTTAATTTAAAAGTAAAAAAAAAAAAATTAGTTGTCCATGTCAAATAAGCCCTCAATCCTAAATTCACTCGTTATAAGATACTAAATTCGCTTTTTATCAACTTTTTATAGAAGTTATTTTTGCGCAAAAAGGTGTATAAAAGTTCAACCCTTTTGGTTAGGGGAGGGTTCTTTAGAATTGTTTTTGCTGTTAGGTTCGGAATTTGGGAATTTGAATCACATGCCTTGAGATGGGAGGGACGTTAAAAAAGGAAAAAGTTCAACCCTTTCATCTTATCCTTAATGAATTTACCAATTGATATTTTGCCTCTTCAAATTTAACTTAAATACAATGAAAACTACCTTTTTTTTTGTATTATTCTAATTTACCTCAATCATGGCCAAATATGTATCTTACTTGGACTACCAGTCACATGAAGAGTGAAAGACATAAATTAATGCATGCTTAAACACTCTTTGTATATATCCATCAAGGCATACTTAAAATATTAATTAGGAATGCTCTATTGGCCAGAAGAATTAGTCAGAAACAGAAGATAAATTTCTAATAATAATCTAATCTTTGACTGAGCAATATTTGTATGGGTCCTAAAGTAGAAGGTTTGGGACCTTGAAAATTGAAAGCAGTCATAGATATGGGACCTCAAAGTTTGCTTGCCCATTAATTTTCATGTCTGATTGGTTTTGACATTTCACTCGAGAGCAAGAAAAAAATGTGTGGTTATGATTCCTGCAATAGGACAGCGGTAATTAATCTCCCACAAGCAACCGGTGTTTAAAAAAAAAAAAATTGTAGCCAAAGGAACCCAGGGAAAATTAAAACCAAAAAAATGAAGAATAAATGTGAAAAGCTACAAAACAATTGTTCTTTAACTACAAAAACAATAATGTTCTTTGACTTTTATGTGTTTAATGAAATTCCTGTTGGTTGAGTATTTTGTAGAGGACAATATCATGAAATAAACTTCAGACAGAAACAAGTATGCCTCCTACAAGAAACCGAAGACAATGACGGGGTTGAAATTATTATGTCCTAATTACAAAGTAGAAACATTCCATCAATTCTCTGAGCATAGTTTCTTGACAAAAAAAAAAATACAAAATACTCACTTGGTCAAAAATTAGAGAGTATTTGATTTATCTTTTTATTTTTTTAAATATTTTAACAGGGTGGGATTTAAAAAATCGGAAGAGATAATATAAGATCTGAATCCAGAACTACTAATTCCTTAGGTCTCAACTTTAATTACCAGATCAAAATGTTCTTGACTTGATATATATACTTTACAAAACTTTATTAATATTGGTGCTAAAGAGAAAGTTATCATCAAGTCATAGGGGTGATCACTTTTTAGTTTTTGTATGGTAGTTAGATCATGCAGTCTTTTATGCAAAAATTGTGACAATATGTCCATTTGAAACATTGGGTGAACATGAAAAATAAGACATCATAAAAAAGAAATCATCTATTGAGAACCTAAGTTACTATTATGTTAATTTTTCAAAGCTATTTTTGCTCAGTAACTGAAAATTTAATTCATGGAAGTAGTGCACTATATTTATTTGACACTTGGCAAGGTCCATAGACCGATTTAGTTTAGTGATGGACCGTCTCATAAGTGTTTGTTTTATGCAGATCCCACATAAACACCATCCATATCAGGATTTGTATGAATTACAATCATTCACTTCCACATTTCTCTTACACATCACCTTCCCAATTAATGGCTGGACCATTGCTCTTTCAACCTGTCATTTTTTTTTTTTTTTATACTTGGTCGTACAATTATAAAGAGTAGTCTATTCAAGACAGAACCTTTTTCAAACTTGATTTCATGAAATAGGCCATTTTTTTTTACAATCTAATAGGGAGAGGGTATTGCCTACTTTCACGCATCAATATAGCAATTGTTTGTAGACTTGATTTTTTTAATGAAGGTGACACTTAATTTTTTAAATTTTTTTGATAGGAAGGTTAGAGAAGTAGGTGAAAATGAAGGTGCACTTCCTCAAAAAATAAAAAGAAAATCAAGTGTCACGTCAACAAAGCCCTAACATTCAGAACTGTACGATGTTACTATGAAGTTATGGACCTGTTTTCAGAGCACGCATTCTCCCTTGACCAAAGAAGGCAATAACTATGCATGTCTGCATACACTTCACATAGCTAGCACGTTTTTTCTTGAAGATGCAAGTCTAATTGTGAAAATGAAATACTAGCATAAGTTAATTTCAACAGAGATTTAGATTTTTGCCATGCTAGTTTTACTGGTGGTTTGCAGGATTAGAACTCTCTTCATTGCTATTAAGTGCAATAATTCAATCACAAAAGTGATTAAGAAAGTAAGAAATGGCTATTGGATAGACACAGACGTGTGAATATCTAAAAACACAAAGTTGACCATATTTTACCTTGTCTCTATTACATAGAGTTGAGGATAGAATTGTGGATATCATTTTGCTAACCTTATTTTAATGTCGTTGCCAGTCAATTAGTGTTAATGTTAGTGTTGATACCACATCATTAGCTTAAAAAAAAAGATATTACACAAGAGAGGACCATCACAACTCTGGAACTTCATTGCTCACTTAATTACTAGCCTTGTAATGGAAAACCCAACTAAAATTACCTTATAGATACCATATCTGCAAAACCAAATTCTCTTAAAAGTTAATTGAAAGGCTTAATCCCCCTTACTCAAACTTGATAGACAATGGAAAATTGGATTTAAAGAAAAGGACAAAAGGAGAAGAAAATCTTAGAATTGTAAAAGAAATTGTTCGGTATTTTGGCTCTAAAACAATTTGTTTTAACCTTAAAGTGCCTCTTTCATCAACAAGAAATCTGGGAAAGTTAGAAATACGGCCAAGCTCTCATTTATTCCTCCTGATTAACTAGCGGCAGTGGTAGATTTCTATACTTACATACACCTTACAAGATTTCCAGTTTCATTGATGGTCAGGCAACAAGATTTATATTTAGTATTATAACTTTAAAACCATTCATGAGAAGCAATATATAAAAACGTATACGTACATCCATAACATACACATAAATCTTTCTTGCCAAGTTCAAAATAAAAAGGGGTAATTGTATTGTAATTAAAAATAAAAGAAGAAAAAGGAAGTCCTTAGGTGTCAGGTAGATCAGTCAAGGCATACCTGTAAGAAAACAAGGGGAGAAAATCCCAACTCAGGACCAATAATTTTATCAGAAACAAGAAGCTTCTCGAGAGCAGGATCGTGCTTCTTCATCTCAAGCCATTCATCCAAGGTCTTATCACATTGGGCTTCAATAAACCTTGCACCACAGTCATTGCATTTGATGACTGGCCGGCCAGACTCTTCTGATCTCCTAAACCGGCCGCAAGTTATGTAGAAATGGTTGAACCAAGTGAACACTGGTTCCTTCATTTTCCTGATGGGTAAACCATCAAATGCTTGGCTTGGAAAATAATATACACCTTTAAGGTAGTGTAACTTCATTGCTAAGTCCATGTCGTTTGGCTCATGAACGATGTCTTGTCCTGTATATCTTCCCGGTCCAACCGAGGATAGTTTCATGTTGTAGATCAGGCCGCCTGACTTGTCCTCTTTAGAGGAAACCATTCTCGCAGGGAGAATTTGTAGTGAGTTTTGTTGGTGAAGTTTTGAGAAAGAGAGAGGAGGGGTGATCTCAGGTTGTGAAGGTGTGTTCCTGTGCCACGACAGTCGTCTTAATATATATATATATATATATATATATATATCTTAATTGCTTACGGGATAAAACTAAGGGATAATTGCAGATACCTCCCTTAATATTTTTGACAATTGTACTTAAATACCTTCTAAAATTAAAAATTACACTCACCTCCCTTTAATGGACACATTTGATAAATATTGCAACTCCTATCACTAAAAGAAAGTTAAAAAAGTGGGAAAAATGTACTGACACACAAGTTTTTGCCAACTTTACCCCTCTTTATATTCTGAACGAACATTTCCCACTTTGTTTATAAAAATTAATTAAAAAAGGGAAAAAAATATGAAAGTAGTAGGGATCCTCTCAGTACAACAAAGAGTACATATACAATTATGCACTTTTAATCGTTAAAAGCAAGAAGAGTTGGACAGGTTGCAACGACTCTATCTTGGCAATATATAAGATGGATAAAGTGTCAAAAAATGAATGCTATTTTCAACTCTTGGCATTCTTCCTCTCTATGGCTGTTGAGGAATAACAAAATCAATTTTGCTTCTCAGGATAAAAGTTGAGAAATGACAAAATCAATTTTTATTTTGCAGATGCTCGTGCCAAGAAGCACATAAAAAAAATATTATTGTTGTAGGCAATTTTTTCTCACATTTTTGCAATAATATTAGCCACAACATTTGGAGGACAAGTTGGTCATTATGAGGCTTTTGGTACTAACATGTTGTCACATCTATCACAGAGGGGAGGTAAGTGTAATTTTTAATTTTAAAGGGTATTTAAGTGTAATTGTTAGAAACCTCAAGGGAGGTATCTGAAATTATCCCTAAAACTAATGATAAATCTATGTATCTTATAGGTCTAGACAAATCCAATCTATATACATATAATCCATTCACTTGTATTTTTATAGCGTCCATTTAAATTATTAATTCTTGCCACATGACGGTGTATATATTAGCATTGGATGTTATATGTGTAGAAATTGAATTTGAATTTCAAGTTTTGCACGCAGTGTATACATCTAATGCCATTAGAACACATGCTGTTTGTCATTTAGGAAAATTTTGTGCTTACTTAAATATGGTTTTAACTATTACTCCATCTATCCCAATTATTTAATCATGTTTCGGGAATCTAACTATTTAAGAATAATGGTTTGATTGTGATGTTTGTGTTTCTTTTTTAATTTTATCCCCACAAATTTAAAATTTAAATTTAAATAGTAACATTCATATGATTAGAAAGAAGGGTTATATTGGAAAGAGAAACTAAAAGATGCTTTGACTTTTCCAATATGACAGATATTTTGGGACATCTCAAAATGGAAAGTATAACACTTTCAATAGGATGCAGGAACTAGTAGACTTGTTTGTTCTAAGGAAGTTATAGGTATAATGTTGATATATGAAATGTAAGTGTCGAATTGATTAAGATATGCATGTGTCGAATGCCAAAGAGAACTTGGGGACAGCATTTATATGTGTTGAACAGGTCGAATTTAGTCTTTCCTTAATGTGTACTGCTTTTGTGGCGAGTAATTGACTTTTGAACTTGAACATTTTGAAAACCTAAAAAGCCTACTTGGATTTGTTTGGATCCAATTATTTGCAAAAGATTTTTTAGTATTAGTTATTGTAATATTTTTTGCAACGTGATAAAAAAAATAATTAAAAAATATATTTAAAGGATGATAGATTTTTTTTTTTTTTCCAAATAATGGTATAGAGATCCAAACATAGCCACTCTTGCTTTATGATGATGTATATAGCAAAATATCGAAAAATACTTTGACCGTCTTCCTCCTACGGTTTGGTGACAAAAGCAATTAATGTCAGAATTTGACTATAAGGATATGGTGGTATATGTTTGGTTACATATGAATCATAAAAATACTACTCCTATAGTTTTAAGGAAAAAAAAAACAAAAGTAAACCTAAAAAGAGAAAACCAATAACGCCCTTCATTCGATTAATTTCTTAGTCAGTGGATTTATAAGTTGGTCTTATGTGGACAATTCAGGATGAGGACATATAGAATATAGTTTTCATATTGATTTATTTCCAGCGAAAGCTCACATTAGATCTAATTATATTCACGATTTGCTTCAAAATTTACATTTGCTTTCCACAAAAGGTTCTAATCTAAGTTTTTTTTTCTTTTCCCTTTCATGACGTTTTTTCCTTTCCAAAAAAGGGAAATTAAGTTCTGATGTGAGTTGCACATGCAATTTAAAATCTCATGGGACTTTCACATGCAGCATTTTGGGGGAAAAAATGTAAAAAAAAAAACCATGAAAAGTATGTGAGATAGGAATTATTTTTCTTGATTGTATGTTCCAAGGTTGTTGTTCCAGTATTTTCCTCCACTTAAATCTTTTTTTTTTCAAATTTTTTCTACTGATATTCGACTTTTAGACAATTTAATTGTTGAGTAAGTTTTTGATATACTATTAGCATATAAATGCTTTTACACTAACAGGTTTATATCATACCATATAACATGAGTTCAAATTTAAAATTTAAATTATACACATATGACATACATCTATAATATTAGTGTTAAAAAAAATAACAACATCGTGCCATAGTGCATAAAAAGTTAATTCTTAATTTTCCCTTTTAATCTCTCCTAAATACTTATATATATATATATATATATATATATATCTCACTGGGCACTTATACACCGCGCCAACCGCGGTCATGCCTCCTAGTTCTGGTATGGGCGTCGACAGCTAATGGTGCCAGATATATGGTGATTATTCAAGGGACAGGCAACATGGGAATGAACCATGGCTCTGGTCATTCTCTTGCAAACTAGGTAAACTTATTATGTTGTGTCTTTCTCATTTCATTTTTGTTTTCTCATTTTTGTTGGCTGAATTGACCCATGTCGGTTGATTAATCTTTTTATATGTCTCGAACTTTCGGGTTCTGCATTATTTGATGGAGGAAATTGTTAGTGGAATATGAAACAATATCTAGTGTATAATAGGGATTTCAAGATAACAAGTAATGTCATGAGTTTCTCTTGTGGATCAATTGACTTATACATATGTATCATCTTTGTTTCAGTATAAAAAAAAATAAAAAAAAGCTTCTAATGGCTAAATATTTTGTTTTAGGATTCCTCTAACTAGTGATCAGGCACCTAATTTATTATGCAAATATACATACACCTACATTTATCATCGTCCTTTATATTTAGACGCTTTTCCAAATTAATTTCGTTGTTGCAAAAAATTAGTAACATCTCATTCCTTTTTTTTTTTAAATGAGTGAACCCTTTTCTATTATTGATCTACCATCATCCAATACGATTTAAGATAGTCATAAAATATGGAGGGTTACTTGGAAATAAGTAAAAAGAAACAAAGAGTTATAGGAATAAAATATGGACCTTTGATAACGCAAATCCCATATCTTGCAAGATCGAGAACTAGAAAGACTAGGGAACATCAAAGTATTTAGGTTAATAAGAATATATTGGGCAATTTTAGCATTGCAAAAAAGAATGGATAAAGAAACAAATTGATAGACAAAGAAGTATGAGGTGAAGTTTCCCGTGAGGGTCAGGTCACAGGAAAGCCAAGCGGCAAGGTCATGCAGTTGAGAGTGTTTACTATTGGGTGGTGGCTATTCTTTCCATTTTATTGCAGTGGAGAAGTGGTTGTGAATAATTAATATTTGCATTGAATTATGCATGTGAGAACTGAGAAGTAGCTACTTATCATCTATCCCATTTTATGTTGCATTAAATTTTCCAATTCTGCAGTAGTAAATGACTACTTATGATTAAAGGATAGGTGTAGTTTAAATTCTGAGTACACGTAGAGATTTCTGATTCCAGAAATTTTGGTGTGAGCTTTTTGGCAGAAAACTGAGCTTTGGTGTTTGTCATGGGTTGACGTCCAAATTGTACGGAGGGTAAAGATACCATCCATATATTCCTGAAGTACGACACTTTAGACAATTACAACTTCACCGGCTGTCGGTTTTTGTCTTTAGAGCCAATCTAGTGTTATTTTCACGGCTCTAATAAATTAGCTATAAAAATAGTTGTAGGTATTAATCAAATGTATTTTCGGAAATGCGTAGGCCATTGGGGTGGGCAAAAATATCCGTTAATCCAAAAACCCGTCATATCTAATCTGATTCGATTCGAAAATTAGGATACACGATTCATATTATTTGATCAGATTAAAAAAGGATCAGGTACCAATTTAGATATAGGATGAATTAGGATCACATAATTAAAAATTCGCCGATACCCGAACTGTTATATATATTTATTATTTTTATACAGATACTATAAAATAATATTTTTAGACCTAAATAAGTAATTTCATTGAACAAATTACATTACAAATATGGGAGACTATAGTTTTTTTTTACAAGATTCATTTATAGAGATCATGATTTTATGTTTTTTAGAAAAGACTTTAATTAATGTGGAATGTATAATTTTAAAAAGTGCTACTTATTTCAAATTTTTATTGATTTTTAATTCTTTTAAATTTTTTTCATTTTTCTTGTATTCTCTTCGCATGTTTGTTTTTGGTGGGGGACATTTTTTGAAAAAAAAATCTTTATCAAATCTTAGATGAATAAGTAAAATACAAAATTAAATTAGTATAAATCATTTTTTAAAAAAATTAAAATGATAAATGGGATAGGATGGGTACTCGTTGATCCAATCCTATCTCAACGAGTACCCGATAATGGGGTACCAATTGATATCGGGATGGGTAAGGGTCAAAAAATGGCTAACGTGCAAGGTGCAGATCGGATCAGCCAAATGATGCATGGAGCAGATATCTGACCCATAACCACCCCTTAGGCCGTGTAGTCTAGCCATTTATCTTGAAAGGCAATGAATTACTGTCCATCTCGGCATATAATGCATGGAATTACAATAGTAATAACGTATAGTACAAGAATTGAGTAAAATCACGATAAAAAAAATTCTTTGCAAATTTAAGTTACTATGCAGTAATTTCACGCTAACAATTA